TATTATGGGACATGAATTTATGAATTTGACATACCCTTCCCCTGTATATAGTAGTCAAATATATCCTTTGTAACTGTAAATAAATATAATTAGAAAATATTATATGAAATAAAAATTTTGTTAAAATAGCAGCCTGGTGATTGACACAAATATTATATTTTATATTTTACCTAAAATATTTATATTATTTTTAATACTATACTATACTTATTTTTGCTAGTTAATTTATATTATATTACCAATAACGAGTAGTAAAAATAATAACAATAATATTGAGATTAATTTAATACTTTGCATAAAATGTATTTAAAAAATATGAAATTAAAACTTCTTAATAAAACTTATTATATTATGATATAATATAATCTACATATTATCTGATATGTTATTTTGTCGCATGAATAGGGTTGCCACCTATTTTCAGAGCCCGAGAGGACAAATTGCCAAAATTGAGACAGGTCACGAGGACATTGTGAGGGCAACAAATATTTAATTATAATTTTGTCACCTGTATGAATAATAATATAATAACTATTGTTTTAATGTTTAAAACACTAGGCATTGTCCCGAACAATGATTTCACAGTTTATATAAATATTTTATATCACATCAAAAGTACTGTAATATTAAATATTTTTATAAATTTAACTAGGATCAAATTAATATTTGAATTATTTTGGCAAATATCTCTGGGAGGACATTACATTACCCCCTGAGACCCACGGGAGGACTGTTTTTTGAGGAATGTAATCACATAATGTATAGCAGTGTAGTCACTGTTAGCACTGAAGGAGCTGTCATAGCGTTTACTGAATGATAGATAATGGCACAAATGCTATAGCAAATGTACAGCAAAAGTGCCATTATAAAAAAACCTGATTCATATGATAGTCAATTAAAATGCTATTCTTTCATAAATATCGTCTACTCGTACCTCACTTTCAAAATTATATGATAAAAGTTTTGTTTTTTGACAAAATGTTCTAGACCATATTATGAAAGAATTGCATTTTAAGTGACTGCATGTGAGAGAATGAATTGAAATGTACTGAAAAGTGAGTCATATTTATGTAAAGTGTTTGTTCGTTAGGATAGTATTAGTGCCAAACCAATACATAACATATACGACGGCCTACAGGTGCCCAATACGCCGGTGCTCTTACTTTCAGGCATAATATATGAGTTGTTTTTAGGGATAAAAAGTTTATTCGAAAAAGTTTTTTAATTACTTTTTTTGTGTTAAATATTTTGTGATTTAGTTTTGATTTAATTGTATTATAGGTGTCGATACACGTGTAGCTAATTATAACGGTTTAGTACGAGTTAAGGTATACCCGTGTTATATGTGTTGAATTACTGTAGGAATTTTGTTTACTGTTTCGTCAACCTTGAGTATTGTGTTTTGGGTGTATTCTCTAATAATTTCTAATATAAATAATTAATTCACTGATTATACGCATATAATAACCAATCATTTGTTAATTGTGTGTAAAATATGAGTTTAAATATGAGTGCAAACAAAAGCCCACAACAATCGGGAGTGGAGTCCAGTAATAGCCGATCCATACATACAAGTGATGTGAGGCCTACGGAACACGAGTCCAATGATTCACACAATGAAACACTTGTCGACGAAAATAGACATAAAAGTGAAGAAAATAT